TAATATACTACGTCTAGAGTAACTAAAAACCAAACAGCTCTTTACAGGGGTTAGGAGAAGTTGCTTTCACTTGTCTGACTTACCTGAATGTGAGACCAAACTCAGTTAAAAAATAAGAATAAAATTGCCTTCATTGACAGGAGTCCGTGCGATGGACCAGCGGCTCCATTCCCTTGGGCCACAGGGAATCAACAGCCCGGCTGGTGCCCGTAACATCCTTCAAAAGAACAGAGATGTGTCCTCCTTGGGTGAGTCACTTGACTGTGCCTCCACACACTGCCCTTCCTGACTCCTCCTGCTCTGATGTCCACAGCCCCTTCTCCTGCCCGTCCTTTCCTCCAGCACCTACTTATTCTCACCTTGCTCTTTGCCGCTCTCTCCCCTCCACTTTTCTGCCTTCAACAAATCCTGCGTTGTGCTCCTTGCCATGTCTCTGCCTTGCCTCTCTTCCCTTCATCCCAGCCCTGGCCTCGCAGCACAGGGCTGCCAGTCAAGGTACAGCAACGCAACAGGAGCGGGCAGCTGGTTGCCTGGGAATAGCACCTTCCTCCCCTTCTTCTTTCCCTCCCTCCCTCGTGCTTCCAGCCTTGTAGTGAAACGAGTGGAAAAAAGAAAGCGAAAGCTTGTCACTCCTGAATATGCACAAAGATAGGTGGGGGAACACCTGCTAAATACAGACCCCGGAGAACCGCTAAGGATTATTCTCCACAGGCAAAATCCAAACCTGCATAGAGGACAACTAGTACGAGGCCTGTGGAAGTCCCCCATCACCCCATGGGGTCGCAGAAGTGTCTGGGCCATCCGGTCAAGAGTTTATTTTTTTAAGAGGAATTCCTTTGATGCTTCAAAAAAGCGGGCTCTGTAGCATGACCACATGGATTAGCTGCGATACAAGTTCACCTCCCATCATGCTGCATGACCACCTGCGAGGCCGTTCACTTGTAACCGTGAGCCCTTCTGCTCCGGCCACCCTGTGCCAGCGCTACTGCTTAGTTTCTTTTTTCACACACAAATGGCCGGTCTGAGTGCCCGACTCCAGGCTGAGCTGTGAATCCTCCATGGGCCGGGGGTTGCGGGAATGGATTTTCTGGTGGCAATTCAGAGACTCTTTGTAGCGGAAGTGCTTCCCACAGACAGGGCACTGGTAGGGGGTCTCCCCAGTGTGGACCCGCCAGTGCTTGAGCAGGTGGTCCCGCCGGATGAAGCTCTTCCCACACTCGGTGCACTGGTACGGCCTCTCCCCTGTGTGGATGCGCTGGTGGCGGATGGCTTTGGAGAGGTCGCGGAAGTCCTTCCCACAGTAGGTGCATGTCAGCGGCCCGTCGCCTTTCCCCGTATGGAGCTTCTGGTGCAAGATCAGGCTCACTTCCAGGCTGAAGCTCTCCTTGCACTGGGAGCAGGTGTAGGGTCTCTCCACCATGTTGTTCACCTGGTGCCTGACAAAGCCATACTTGAAACCAGAGCTCTTCTCCCCATCGGAGCGTTTGGACTGTTTGGAACGGGAAGACCCCTGGCCTTTTGTTTTGGATTTCTGCCTGAAACCTTCTCCGTGCTCCAGGGAAGTGCAGGCTTCCTCACTGGCATGCGCTTTCTGATGGGTGGCAAACAGTTGCTTGTCCAGGAAGCTCTCCCCACACTCGCAGCAGATGTATGGGCCTTCTACTGCAGCCACATCCTCAGGAGCATCCTTCTTAGCCAAGTCTCTCCCGCGGCGAGAGGAGCGCCTCAGCCCGTTGCCTGTTCTCTGCTGCGAGGTTGATCCGCTCCGGCTCTTGCTGCTTGGCTTTATCTCCTCCTCTGGGCTTGAGAAAACCTCTTCCCACTTTCCTGTCAAGGAGCTAGGAAGCTCAAGGATTTCGGAACCTTCCTCATCACACTGCTGTTCATCTGCCAGAGCAGAGATAGTCATGTCATTTCTTTGAGATAGGAACTGTCCCATTATTTAGACCCCAGTTCTCTCAGGGCAAAGGTGATCTCTGCTTTGCACACTCAGGACAGCACCTGGCACTACAGGGTTACAAGTCCCGCCTGAGAGCTACCTCAGCAGTATGGGAATATGAACAAAGCAAAAGTATCCTGACTTTGAATCACAGAATTGTTTTGGTTGGAAAAGACCCTAAGATCATCGAGTGCAACCGTTAACCTGGCAGTGCCAAGTCCACCACTAAACCCTGTCCCTCGGCACCACATCTACACATCTTTTTAATCCCTCTTGGAATGGTGACTTCACCACTACCCTGGGGCAGCCTGTTCCAGTGCTTGACACCACTTCCATTGAACAATTTTCCCTAATACCCAACCTAAACCTCCCCTGGCACAAGACGAAGCCATTTCCTCTTGTCCTATCGCTTGTTACCTGGGAGAAGAGACCATCCCCCCACCTCACTACAACCTCCTTTCAGGTAATTGTAGAGAAGGAGATCATCTCCCCTGAGCTTTCTCCAAGCTAAACCACCTCCCCTCAGCTGCCCTTCATAGAACTTGTGCTCCTGGTCCTTCACCAGCTTCGCTGCCCTTCTCTGGACCTGCTCCAGCACCTCAATGTCTCTCCTGTAGTGAGAGGCCCAGAACTGAACACAGTATTCAAGGTGCAGCCTCACCAGTGCCCAGTACAGGGGACAGTCCCTGCCGTTGGTGCTGCTGGCCACACTATTGCTGATACAGGCCAGGATGGCCATGGCTTTCTTGGCTGCCTGGGCACAACCTGCTCCTGTTCAGCTGTTGACCAACACCCCCAGGTCCATTTTTACCAAGCAGCTTTCCAGACACTCTTCCCCAAGCCTGGAGCATTGCATAGGGTTGTTGTGACCCAAGTGCAGGACTCAGCACTTTGCCTGATTGAACCTCATACCACTGGCCACTGCCCATCGATCCAGCCTGTCCAGATCCCTCTGCAGAGCCTCCTACCCTCCAGCAGATCAACACTCCCACCCAACTTGCTGTCATTTGCAAACAGACTGAGGGGGCACTTGATTCCCTTGCCCAGATCATTTATAAAGACTTCTTGGAAAAGCTGAGACAGCACAACCAGGAGATCTCTATATGTAACTAGACAGAGGGAAGTAGAAGTGGATTCCTTAGCCGGAGGTAAAGCAGAACAGGTCTTTAAGAACCTCTGGTTTAGGGTAAAGGCAAAAAAACCAAAATCAAGGGAAGGGGAATAAACCTCTTTTCCTTTGGTGTTTGCACAATGCCTGGGGACGAAGGATCTCCCGTGGTATAAATGGTAACTCAAAGCAACTGCAAAGGACCCTGGCAAAAGGAGGATGAAAAGAGCCCAGAGATTCTGGGGATGTGGGGAGGAGAGCTGGAAACCTACAGGTTTCTGCAGAATGCAAGAAGCTGTGCTGAGCATTTGCATGCCCAGGGAAGACCTCAGCATTCCCTGTCGCAGGCTCTTCATCTGCTTGTCACTTGTGACATCGAAACGTGGGCTTGAAAATGGGCCGCCTTCTCTGCCTCAGGCTGACGCTCTGGAAAAGTACCAGCCAAAGCTGCTGAGCTGCTTCTGAGAACGAGGCTGGGAAGCCAAAAGCACATCCTAGCACGGTATGCTTCCCAAAGCAGCTCACACGTCCCTGTGCTTCAGAGCTAACATCACCAAAGCTTGCCTGTGCTACACTCATCTCCACTTCAAGGCTGACCAAACATAAACTCTCACCCAGTGATGAGACACTATACAGGTGATCTACATGCCCTAGCCAGACCACAGCTGCTTTTAGAGCCTGCTGCTCACGTACCACAGCTTCTTCTGCACGTGTGCTATTCATCTGCCTTGGCTGCCGTCCATCTCCCACACTGACCCTTGAGGCAAGCCTGGCAGAGACTGCAGTGAGGGCAGGATCTCACCCCAGGCAATCCCCAGCATGTGGCAAGAGCCTGAGCCCTCTTCTGCCTCCCTCTCTGTGCAGTGCACGGTGGAAGTCTGCACTTCTAACTCACATGTACAAGGGACTTCCATGCCTTCTTCTTCTTCTTCTTCAGAGCCATCATGGCTTTCAGCCAGAGCCTCTTCATATTTACTCCATGAGCAGTCATCAGGACCAGGAAAAGAAAACTCTGTGCACAAGAACAACAGTTTTTGCTGAGGCCTCCCAGCTGCTTTACAGAGGATTTCAGGAGATGGCAAGGAAAACAAAGCCACCACTGCACCCAAGGACAGAGCTGGCCAAACTCAACAGCAGAGGCAAGTGGAAGAGCACAGGCAGGTGCTCTTCCACTTCTGCTTCTTCCACACATCTGCTTTCCACCTCCCCACTATGTCCTAGGAACCTTATGGCTCACCAGTGCTGGGGTCTGTAGGGGTTTCTCCTCCCTCAGAGTCATCCTGATCCTCCGCATTGGGATCCTCTCCCTGCTCAATCCGTGACAAAAGGTCTGGCTTCGAAATGGCCGCATCTGCACATAAAAAGAGGATCAAAACATTTCCTTCGCCCTCGCGGGAGTGAGACTCTCAATCCTTCGCCCACCAACCTTCCTTCGCTGCTGGGGGTGACAGGTAATGGAAAGAGAGGCTTATGATGCTCTCACACATCTGCACCGCTCACCTTGTCTGGGCCCTGGGAACATGAGCGGACTGCAGGAGCACACTTTGCTCAGGTGAGGAGCACCTCCCAGCCTGCAGCGCGAGGAGGAGAATAAGAAAATGCATCTGTGCTTACCTCCAGGCTTCCTTTCTTCTCCTCTCTGCTAAGGTCCGCGGATCCATTACAATGGGGACTTCAGCTCGGGGACAGCACCAGAGCTGTCAGCCAGCAGCAGCAGGGGAAGTGCCCTCCCCATGCGGTTCCCTCCATCCTACTCGTCCGAGTCACAGGCTGCTTGCGGATTTTGGTGGGGGAAAGGGGACAATCACAATCTCTCCTAGGGTGGAGAGTGGAAAACTTCATTCCCAAACTAGCGTGAGTCTCTGGGCATTAATTTCCACTGCTGCTCTGGTGGATCTGTTTGACTTATGCAAGGGCCAAACCCCTAAACCTCATTACTCAAAGGAAACCTTCAGACGAAGCACAGATACATTTTTGTAAGCTCCAGGCTCAGATCCACAGATCCTCCTCAGCAGGACTGTTAGGTTCCTGCACCTCTAGAGTGGCACATGGGGTTGGATTTTAACAGAATGGGGGGCAGTATTTACCCTTCACCTTTTTCTCTTGCTCACGGAAGACTTCTGTCCAAAAAAAAAAAAAACCACCGGAAAAAAGGGAAAAAAAAAGCGATGAAAGGCCTGGCTAGGCCAGTGTTGGACAGCAGGGTGATGGGTGAGCCTGCACACCAATGGTCTCAGCACAGGGAGGAGATGCCGATCTACCAGGGACTGCGTCTGCGCTGTCACGCACTGCACACAGATGTCCAGCCAAGGCGAGATCACTTCTGAGAACACACAGAGGTGCTCGTGAAGGCACCACGACCCCCAGAGGGAATCCCTGCAGCCAGGACCAGAAGGAGCGAGCAGAGCACTGAGTTCATTTTGCTGTGAATGCGCTACCCTGAGCTGCTGAGGGGAAAGCGGAAGCACAGCTTGCCTTTGCCTGCTGCTTCTCCCCAGCCCCACAGCAGCAGAAACCACAACAGCTTGAGCAAGAAGTGTTCCCTGGGATGAGGCTGAGATCAGAGAGAGCACCAAGGCAGGCAACCAAGAAACTTCACTCTCCTCCCTTACGGAAGCTGAAGGACTATCACCAGGGAAAGGGCTGGAAGGAACCTCAGAGGCAGGGCACCCCTCTGCTGCCCTAAGCGGCGAGCGGGCTGACACACCCAGCGCAGTGGATCTGTGGACCTTTGCGTGACAAAGAAACTCCCCTCTCCCCCACCTTTCCATGGCTGGAGGGTCCTCTCGCTTCCCCTCCTCCTCATGACCCAGCAGCTCACTCAGCTCCTACCAGCCACAGAGACCGTCAGGGAGACGCAGTCACCGCAGCGACGCTCATGACATCCATCCACCGTTAAACTGAACTGGTGAGGACTGAACTACCTGCCAGGGCTGCTGGTGAAAGCCGGCACAACGTGTTCCCGGAGCAGTATACTGCCCACCCTCCCCAGCCCTGCCAGGCACAGCGGTGCTTCCATCCACCAGGCCCTGGGAAAACCTGGTGCAGCAGAAGGCTCAGGACAAACCCCAGCCCGTCTTTACCCATTGAGATGACGGCCTCGTAGTTGCCTTTCATGATATGCCTGTAAAGCTCCTTCTGCCACTCATTCAAGCTCTTCCACTCCTCCTCAGAAAAGTTAAAGGAAGCGTCGTTGAATGACACAGGGACCTGCAATGAGAAGCATTGTATGTTTGGATGCTGTGTCGCTTGTTGAAGTGTCATGGTTTAGACCCAGCTGGTAACTCAGCACCATGCAGCTGTTCACTCACCACCCCGCTTCCCAACTCCAGGCGGGATGGGAAAGAGAATCAGAAGAATGCAAACCCTACAGGTTGAGATAAGAACAGTCCAATAACTAAAGTATAATATAAACCTACTACTTATAATAATAAGGGAAATCAAAAGGAGAGAGAATATAAAACCAAAAGGGACAAAAAAACCCAAAACAACCAAACAAAACCCCCCAAAATAATCAGCAGTGATTCACAATACTATTGCTTACTACCTGCCAACCAATACCCATCCTGAACCAAGCAGCGATGTGCCCTTCCAGGTAACTCCCCCCCAGTTTATATACTGGGCATGATGTGCTGTGGTATGGAATACCCCTTTGGCTAGTTTGGGTCAAGTGTCCTCTCTCTGCTTCCTCCTGGCTTCCCCTCCTCTCTGGCAGAGCATGAGACTGAGAAAGTCCTTGGTCAGAGTAAACATTACTGAGCAACAACTAAAAACATCTGTGTTATCAGCATAACCCAACCCCCCCCCCCCCCCCAGCCACTAGGAAGAAAAATAACTGTTAGAGCTGAAACCAGGACATGAAGAAAACACCCAGTGATGTTTCGTCATTCAAACTCAAGCATGGTGCAGGACAGCCTCATGCACCAATGCCTGCTCCTTCCCACTCGCCTCGCCCAGCCCCTATGCTGGGCTGAGGCAGCTTCACCCCTGCCCACAAGGGACACAATGGGGTTTTCCCTCGTCACCTGCCTGCACCTTGCCCCCTGCTCAGCCTCCTCCTGCAGGTGCTGTTGTGGGCACAGCACCTGACACAGGCTCTTTCCCCACTTCATTTTTGACATGGTTCTGTTGCTAACTGCCTCTGAATAGGCACTGGGGATGCTACAAACCCGACAGGTACACAGGGCTGAGCCACACAGTTCTGTGCAACTCAAACATGGCTCCAGCCATACTAAGAAGTTTGTGATCCCACACAGAGCAAGGATCTCCCTTGTTTTGGCAAGGATCATATGTACATAACAAGTGGTGCATAATTAATACAAAGGGACCTGTGCTGGTGCTCCTGGCTGAGCACTAAAGACAGGACATTGCTGCAGAGAAGCAGAGTCCCACTCAGCACCTCAGCCAACCTGAAATGAAGCTGTGAGCACAGACTATATGCCAAACAACCCCGTTCCAAAGACAGAGCAGAGGACCGTTACCTTGGGGACCTCCCCCTTCACCCCCGGGGGCAGCCGCAGGATCCAGAAGTTCCTGTTCTTGAGGAGGTTCTCCACATTGGCTGTCCATACTCCTGGATGAGGGTGCCCAGGGCTGTCCACTTGCTCTCCAGCTGGTTCCCAAACTCCACTGCCGTCTTCTCACAACCAATAAGCTTGGTTTCCGCCATCCTCATCCTCCCCTC